GTATGCTAGTTATAACTTTAAGGAGTTATAACACTTAAGTTCACTGTTCTGTAACAGCAGAAATACAATGAACGCCATCCTAATATATCACATTTCTATTCTTTTTTCTCAAATTGATATATGTTTTATTCAGTCATTTTCCACAAAGAAGGCTGATATAGTTTTTATTTTCATTAAAAAGTATATGTCCTTAGCATAAAGCTATAATTTATTTTTGAGCAGCTAGATGGCATAGTGCATAGACTGCTGGGCCTGGAGTCAAGAAGACTCATTTTCCTGAGTTCAGATCTGGCCTCAGATACTCATTAAGCTGCATGATTCTGGGAAACTCACTCAACCCTGTTTTCCTCCTTTTCCTCATCTGTAAAATGTGCTGGAGAAGGAAATGGCAAATCACTCCAGTATCTTTGGCAGGAAAACCCCAATTGGGTGAAAAGTCAGACAGTACTGAAATGATTGAACAACAAAAATAATAGATTTCTTTGTAAGGGAGTAGGGGATACAATTTTAAAAAATGCAAATCTAACATTCTTCGAAATACAGGTCAGAAACCTAGATATTTATTTTTGTTAAGATTAATTTTTATACTGGGTGGAGGCTGGCATATTTCTAACTTACTTTAGACCATCACCCATTTGTGTTCTAAGAACACAGCGATAGGCAGTCAAGTAAGGGCCCCTTCAGAGAGAAAAGCTTCTCTGGTTCGAGGATAGTCCATTTTTAGAGGGCTTTACACATGCTGTTCAATTCCCATAATCTCTTTCCCCAGTAGTCTTAGCTGTAATAATTAAAGAGCTCCAACAAGCACCAATGAAGCCCAATAGTAGATGAATGAATGTGACCTTCAAGGTACCACGGACATTCATTCAGGAGAAGTGGAGTAGGCAGTTCTTTTATGAAAAGTTGGATTAGGATAGAAAGACAACTGAGGCAATAATGTGCCTGCTCTCACAAATCTTTCCTTTTTAAGAGCCAACCATCCTCTTCTTTACTTCTATAGGCTTGAGGTTGACATTCCACTGACTGATGTTTAAGGTCCTCCATAATCTGATCTCACTGATCCCATCCAAACTTGTTTCCCAATACTCCTAGTTTATGTTTTCTGTTTCAGCTAAACTGCCCTACTAATCCAGGGATTACAGAGACATGATTCAGGACAATAATTCCATCTCACTTGACCTTAGTGAGGTGTTACTTTTCTGTGAAGTAGCATTATTTTGATCAAATCAATGCCTTAAATTTCTCTAAAGTTGCTCTATACTATAATAGTAATTGATATTCTTATCATAGGCTACTTGTACTGGTGTGGAGGACTGGTAGAATCAATGTGGAAACTGAGGTTCAAAGAAGAAACTTGATTTCCCAAGTTCATGCAGGTAGTAAATTGCAAAGCTGATATTTATGGCTCTGATTTTTCATAGTGTATGGATCAATACACCACTGGAGGGCTGAGAGGAACAGGCCACAAGAAGACTTTCTGGCCACCCCAGTCTGCCCCATTACTGTTCCCAACAAAAGCTCCCCTTCTGCTCAACCTTCTTGCCCATACCTTATTCCCCTTTCTGAGAATACTTTCTCTTCTGGCTAGAGTACTCTATCTCTTCCCCATCCCCACATCCTAGAAAGGAGCCTGGCGTACCCTCTTCAGTTCAATCCACAGACACATTCCCACCTTCACTAGACTGATGGGAGAGGTCCATGCAGTCCCTTGACTTGACATAGACATGACTGTTCAGTGAGCAGGGAATCATGGACTATAATCCTTCCAGGAATCAGAAGGCCCACAGGCCTTGCCCTCTGCCCTGTCACTGAACCCCAAGAACCATTGGATCTTGTATGTGTTGTCTTTCCTAATTAAAATATGAACTCCTTGAGAGCAGAGACTGTCTGACTTTTCTATTTGTATCTGTATTGTATCTGTGTTTTTGGTACATAGTAAAAGCTTAATAAATCCTTTTTCATGCATTCATACATAAATTTCAGGTCTGAGAAGCACTTTATGTCTGATATCTAATTCTGATTAGATATCTATGTCTGATTCTAATGGAATCTCATAGAAAGCCCAGGAAGCAGGTACTGCAGGGATTATCTTCATTTTACAGATGGGGAACTCGAACCTGAGACAGGTTAAGTGACTTGCCCGTAGCATCAGATATGAACTTGGGTCATTCCTGACTTGGACCTGGAATCTCTAGACTCTGCATGCCCAGACCTCATCTTCTGGAGGCAAAGGTAGAGGTCGAGTTGTGTAACAATCACGTGTGCTTTCTGTCAGGTAGCCTTAGAAAGGCTGGGCTCCCCTCAGGATTGCCTCTTCAGTGACCCTACAAATTATGGGATGCAGCATTTTACAAAAGGATCATAGATCTTGAGTGGGAAAGGAGCTCCAATAACCTTCATCTATCACTTTCATTTCACAGATGAGAAAATTGAGGGTCAGAGGGGCTAAGTGATTTGCCTAAGTTCACATAGACTGTTTTTAAGTGGCAAGAAGGAATGTGAACAAGGTTCTCTGGATCAAAAGTTCAGTGTTTTCTGTGCTGTGCCATGGTGCAGTGTCAGCCTTGTGGAGAGAAGGGGTTCCCAGAAGGCAGCTCTGTGGAGAAACCCTTATTGAAACTCCAAGGACCAGAGTTCTGGAAATTAATCTTCTAATGAGAAAAGGAAGAGCTCCTGGGCAATGCCAGCCTTTGGTGGGGGCAGGGGATGAAGATCATTTGTGCAGTCCTTGGAGTTGTAAGATCAACAAGAGATTAGGTTGCAATATAGGGAACTGGACTTGTCTATCAGTTATTAGTATGGGTTATTTGGACAGGGTAGTGTCAGAAGATTGGAGGCAGGTTTGGGGTAAAATAGGATTCACTGGGATGTCAAGGATTTACCCCCCTAAGCAACTCCAAGTTCATTTTCCTTTCAAGGGGAGTTTGAACCAAAGGGGGCTGCCATAAGTCTTAGGTATAGAACTGTATGGGATGGTTGGAATTGGTATTCACCAGAGAGGGAGGAGTATTAATAAGCTACTATAAGAAGGATTATATACATATATATATATAATGTATATGCATATATACATATACACACATGTATATGTACACATATACATATATATGTTGTATGCATGCACACTATGTGTATGTGTGTGTGTTTGTGTGTGTGTATTTTATACTTTCTGTGGAGTGAAATCAATGCCATCCTGTATCTAGTCTCAATACTTTGTTATGCTTACGTAGACACTGGGAACATCTGTGGTGACCTAGACATGAACTATATTTGAGTGAAGGGTTCCAGAAGAAACTCTGATTGTGAGCAAAACAAACCACAAGGACATGCTTGGGCTGCTCCCAAGGTCAAACCTGATGTGCAAGTATAGAAAGTTATGCCCACTGGGTCACAGGTTTTATTTGTTACTATTAGGGATTGCCAATTATAAATAACTTCTGTAATTGGGAAAACCAAATAAACTAGGTTAGTGCTATCTTCAGATATCTTCAGTCTCCAGACATCAGCAAGGAAATCAGGATACTAGAGATGGATACCTGGTGTCCTCAGAGGCAGGATTTGAACACGTTTTCTTTACTTCAACCCCAGAACTCCATTCACTTTGCCACAATTTCACTATTCCTGTACCCAAAGTCTCCCCTTCAGACACATCAGAATGTTTTTTCTTTCCTATAATTGACCATGTGTGTGTATGTTATAGTGGAATGAGCACTGGATTTGTAGTCAAGAAGACATATGCTGAAATCCATTGATTAATTTCAACTTCTCTGGGTCTCAGTTTCCTTACATGTAAAATGGGGTAATTGGCATAAATGGCTTCTAAGGCACCTACTTGCTGTAAAACCTACAATCTTTCCTGCTTCAGGGCCTTTGTTTGTAGAATCATAGACTTAGATGTGGAAGACACTTCAGAGACTTTCAATTCCAACTCCCTCATTTCACAGATGAGTAGACAAACACAGAAAAGCTAATTGACTTGCCAAGGGTTACACAGCTAGTAAGTGTCTGAGGTCTGATTTGAACCCAAGCCCTACTGATCCCAAATCCAGGGCCCTAGGTAGCAGAGCAGAGGTGGTAAACGCATAGCCCACAATACTCCCTAGTGTAACTGAACCATTAAAATGTAATTGGGAAATATTTAATAAAATAAATGAAAACACAATAAAACATAGATAACATATTTTAAAACTAAGTTAATGTATGGCCCACAGGAATCCTTATGTATGCATTAATGGTGGCCCTTTCTTTTTGAGTTTGAAACACCTGCAGTAGAGCTCTTAATGGCTCTCAATCTGCCTGAAGTAACCTCTCAACTCTCTAAATCTGTTCAGATGCTACCCTCTGTCTAGCCCTGATTCCACTCCCACTTCCCCAGATACTTCATCACTCAGTGAACTGTCTCTCAGATGCGCTCTTGGACCACTTGCTTTGACATCAGTCATCTTTGACATAAGCCATACATTGCCTGGAGATTTTATTGATTTTTTACACAAGCATCATGGTTTTGTTAATTGGCCCCAGGAACATCTTCTTGCCACAATCAGTCTCTGTCACATAGTTTAGCACTTAGCATATAATTTAATACATTTTAGTGTATTATTTATATACTTGGTGTATAATTGCATGCTGCATTATTCTGTCTAGTAATGTCTTCAAATATGTCATCTTTATCTTCCCAAAAAAGTTGTAAGTTACTTAAAGGCAGGGACTTGACATTAATAAATTCTTATCTCATTTATTTCTGCCAACTCTATTAATAGTCTGGAGACTGGGAAATACATACATACACACATGTATACATGTATGCATGTAATGTACATCTATATCTGCTGCTATTTTTAATATTCATGTTTAGGATGTTCATGTTCTAAACTATCTTCCAAGGAAGGAGGGAAAGCTGCCTTCCTACCTTTTTCTTTAGTGTATTGGAAGAATGCCCCCTGGTAAAGTAGTATGTCCAAGAGTGGAGGATAAAACAGAAGATGGAGTAGCTTTCTTACCTAAAACCCACTTCATGATAAGCATTTCTGTCCATGAGAACTGGGTGGTTTTTACTCTAAAGATCTGTTTTGGATAATCCGTGTTGGTCTCATTAGGGAGGTTTTTAACGCCTTCAAACCGGTCTGACGCATTCAAAACTAACAATCCCAGGAAGATGGTGAAAGATACGGCATGGGCCACAAACTTCATGAAAGGGCTCCTCAGGGTCCGTCCTAACTGGAAATAAAATATGAACAAAACAGATGATTAGCTTGGGGGCTCTCTTTCCCTCTGGCACTTCTTTTCTTGCACAAAAAGCTCAATCAGAGGATAATCCAGTTTGGACAGTGTATTAAAAGCTACGGACTGAAAATATATCCCATGACATCTTCCCATGTTCATTTCCAGGTAATAGGACGACATATTTTTGACAGGCCAGATCCTTTTCTATTTCAGAAGGCTTTATGAGATCATTGAAGGAAAGGGTTTTTAAATACACTTTCCAATCACCTGTATATGTTTGTTAGCAATAACACTGCTTCATTCAATTCCATGGACCTAAATTTTCACAGCCCTCTTATGACAGCAGACTTGATAGAATAGACAAAGCCATGAACCTGGGAAAGAGATTGGGGTTTGAGGAGATGAATTAGTTAGAGATCTTCAATCTTCAGACTCAAGGTTCTATTTGGGACCAGAGTCTGAGACAATCCCCAGGGGTGGGGTGGGCATGAGAGACAGAGAGCCCAAACCACCTTGACGCTACTGTTGAGATGGAGCAGGTAAGGGCCTGATCAGGAGCTTATCTAGGGGTATAGACAGTTTGGGGTTAGAGAAAGTATTCCATGTGATAGTTTTCTAATTGTTCTAATTATTCCAAAGCCTAGTTATTTCTACCTGTTGATGGAGCTCAAATATTGCTAGCAACTTCTAAATTTTGGCATTTTAGAGTAAATTCCTGTTTGTCCTGCACCAGTTGCAACTATTGAGTTTTGACATGACTTACTAGCTTAAATAATAGGGCAAGCCACTGCAGTTATCTTTGTCAGGATCCCAAATGGGGCCATGAAGAGTAAAGACAGGATTGAAAAACGACTGAACAAAAACAAAGTACTTTGCTGGCTGTGAGTGTATGATGAATCCTTATTAATAGATATATTAAATGACCTCACTTTATTTGAGTTTCCTGACAATTCTTTCCCAATGAGGCCCAGTTCCAATCTAATCCAGTTAAAAAAGCACTTAAGTGCTTACTAGTATGTACTAGTCTCTTGGGATGCCAAGTTCAGGAACAGGAGGTAGGCCCTTTTGACTGGAACACAAAATGAGTGAAGGGGAACAAACCAAACTAGAAGAGTAGGCTGGAGCCAGATTGTAAAGCTCTTGTTCTATGTCTTCCATTTGGGTGAGCAGATGAAAAAGAACTAGACCAAGTAGGAAAGTATTTCTGAAGCATAGCTGGAAGTCTATTGTAGGTGCTTAATAAACACTCCTTGATAATTTGATTGAAGTTTACTTGAAGTACATACACACTAAGTTTATCTCATTTATTTATTCTTCTACAAGTTTCTGTTTGGCCTTCACACCCTGGCTTCAAACTACCTTTCTAGTATCATAATAGATTACTCCACTTCATGACTCTATGGTCCAGCCAAACTGGCCTCCTTGCCATTCCTCCAACATTCCATTTCTCTCTCCACACCTCTTATAATTCCTGGTTTCCTTCAAAGCTCAGCTGGTGTCATTGCCCACAACAGGCCTTTCCTGTTTTGCTAGTTTCTCCCCTCTCAAATTACCTTCTAAATATTTTGAATCTCCTCCTCCTCCTCCTCCTTCCCTCTCTCTCTCTCTGTCTCTCTCTCTCTCTCTGTCTCTCTCTCTCTCTCCCTTTAATAGAAAAGCTTCTTGAGGAAAGGGACTATTTAACTTTTCATTGTGTATCCTCAGCCCCTAGGACAGGGCCTGACATAGTATATGTCTAATCAATGGTTATTGATTGGTACATTTAATTCCACTAGTAGAATATATACCATGGGTGACAGATTATTAGTTCAGAAATGTATCAATAATATGTGTTTCTTTAGGTAAAATTCCTCTAAGAGTATGTCCAATATAACATTTATAAAACAGATGGGTTGATAAATGCTATTTTAATATGCTTCAGTAGGGTAATTATCTACTTTAATTACTGTAGCTATTAGTATAACATGATTGATTATAATTAGAATGCTGTGGCACTAACCTAAGGAAGTACACAAAGTAGGAAAAAATGTGTTCATTTTCATATTTCAATTTTACCTGCATTTCAGGTCTTGTCTATAGAAGATCTAAAACAATTCTCTGTAAGACATGCAGCGTAGGGGTGATTCTGGGAGAAATTCAATTAAGTCTTCCTGCCTTGTGGTCTGAGGCCAGGATAACTTCTGAAATACCAGCTAAAGAGGTTAATATTTACCAATTTCTTATTAAAAAATTAACATTTACATTTTTTTTGTCAGTCATTTCAGTTGTATCTGACTCTTCATCACCTCACTTGGAGTTTTCTTGGCAAAGATACTGAAGTGTTTTGCCATTTCTTCTCCAGATCATTTTACAGATAAGGAAACCAAGGCAAACAGAGTTAAATAACTTGCCAGGGTCATACAGTTAGTAAGTGTTTGAGGCCAGATTTGAATTCATGAAGATAAATCTTCCTAACTGGAGAGCCAGCACTCTATCCACTGAGCTGCCTAGCTACCCTGATATTTACATAAGGCACTCAGAAAAGGGAAGGGGTTTCTGTGATTTATTCAACTCTCATTTTGATAATTCACTTAAATGAGGAATTGAGAGTATTTTAGCCAGCAAACAGATATGCACAGTTCAAAATGTTTTAAATATAATCGTTGACATTATTTATACAAGATGATATAATTAACATTTATTGTTTATTGCTTATTGAACATTATGCCAAGTGCTAGGGTAGATGAAACATTTGCACATTTACATAGAAATGGTTTGAGTACAAAAAATATCTTGAGATTCATGGTGAAAATTATTGAAAAAGCGCTAACTCTAAAGACAAATCTCATCTCTGATGTTTAATAACTCTGTGACTTTAGGCAAGTCCCTTACACTGCACCCAAGTCTCTTCATAAAGAAAACTGAACTTAATGACCCTTAAAGTCTCTTACAGCTCTAAATTTATCATCCTATGCTTCCAAGGGGATCTCACTCTTTCTTGAGGCAGTCCAGTCTAGTCTATTGTTGGACAACATTAATCATTTAGAAGTTCTTCATAATGGAGACAGTATTGGGGGAGGGAAATGTGGACTATTGGTTAGAGCAATAGGTTTGAAATCAGACCTGAGTTTGAATACTGGCTCATAAACTTTAGTTATCTAATCATTGGCTTTTTCATCTATGAAAGTGCAATAATACTATCTTCATTGTTTACTCACAGTGTTGTTAAAGTCATGGTATGTCTTAAAAACTCTATATAACAATAATAATAGTTATTATTCTATTAAGCCCATATCTACCTCCCTCTCACTTCTGTCCATTGGTTCTTGTTTTGTTATTTAGGGCCAAGAATGTTAAGTGTGACTAATCCTTCAAACATTTGAATACACCTAGCACATTTCCCCTAAGTCTTCTCCAGGCTAAACATCTCTAGCTGATTCAATTTGTCCTTAGAGATGGCATGGTTTTGAGGTGCCAGAGTGTTTTCTAGACCAGCTCCAGATTGTCAATGTTCCTTGTAAAATGAAGTGCCCAGAACCATAAGCAGTATTCTTCACCTTTTACCATAGACACCACCACTTCCACTCCCATGCTTCACTTCCACAGGTGATTTGAACTTGGAAGTGCATTAAATGGCAATCAATGATAACGTGAATGCAATAGAACAATGCTGAGCAGGAAACAAGAAGAAAACATTGACTCTAATTTTTAAGATTATCATGCACCCACATTCCCATTGAGAGACATAGTTTTTGGGATTAAAGCTGTTGTTGCATCCTTTTTCTTTAGCTTGCTGTTTTTTTTCCCCTAATGCTAAATAACTTTATAATGCTTTTAAATGTATAACATCTCCTGGGAAAAATCTGCAGTTTGTTCTAGATATCATTTGTTGGACCATCCCAGGCTCAATTTCACATCAGATCTAGCTCTTGGGTTTGGAAACCCAACTTTCCTCATCATATCTGGGCATTCTTTTTCTTGGAATTATAAATGGGTCTGATTTATAAAGCACAAAGTTGATAAAACTTTGCAAAGGTTAAATAAAAAGCAATCATTTATTCTCTTCCCTGATCCTTCACAACAGGAAATAAATGACTATTTGACTCAGGAAAACAGTAATTTACTTTAAAATAATTCTTCCTTCTGACATCAGGCCACCAGATGAGACAAACTAAATAGAGGAAGTTGACTGGTAACTGAGCAACTGAGTCCAGACTGTCATTACAGCTAATAATAGAAATTGCAGTCTTGGGAAGGTTTGGAACTGGATCTGCCAGAAACCGAACACAGCTTGGAGAAAGTCAAGAGTCCCTGATTCATAATCTAATTATCCAGCAAAACTGATCTTCCTAAGAAACCACTGAGACAAGACAACTGTCCAATATACTTGAGTTGCACACAACTAACAGAAAACAGGGTCAGCGATTGTGAAAATAACAGGTAGGTAGGTCTAGGAGAGGAAAGGTGCTGTGAAAACCAATCATAAACCAGCTTAAATAAGTTTTATACAAAAGGACAAAAACACAACAATACGACTAAGAGTCTTGAAAAATTAATAGCTAACAATAGTATTTGATATGAGAAGAGATACTATTTCATGTTATAGTAAGGAAAGGGCTAGATGTAGGGGCAGAAGCCCTGCATTGGAATTGCTGCTCTGCTACATACTACACATGTGACCTTGGACCAATTGTTTTGCCTTTCCTCATCTATAAAACAAAGCAGTTGGTCTTGACAACCTCTAAGTTCCCTTCTAGATCTCCTTGTAAAGAGGGTCCCTCTTGATACTTTTGGACAAATCACTCTGCTTCCTTATTCCTCCAAAAGAAGAATTATTTTCTTTCTCTCATAAGCACCTGTACTCAGTACATCCTTTTAAAAATTGAACTGAAGTGATGGACATGAAAGTACTTCTTAAATTCTAGTATTAGAGGACATTTTCCATGTGATCTGTGACAAATCAGCCTTCCTGTATTTAACTCATACTTATGATGCCTCTCTCTCTCTTTCTCTCT